ATACACATATATAATATAATGACGTAATAACAAGTCCAAACGAAAAGGGGATACCCTATATCTAAAAGTAATAACAAGTATATACGGAAAATCCTCCACGGAGACACATATAAACAGGATAAGATGATTAACAGATAAAAGAATATAACTAACTCTCTAATTGATATATCTGAATATAAGAAAAATAAACACGAGAAAAGAGTAAGAAAAATTATGAAAAAAAAGAAAATAACACGCAAAAAATAGCTAAAAATTATTTGTAATGATTGAATTATACTGTAAGGGCTCTTGTCTAGGGTCTCGTGGAGCATTGCTCTTATCACGAGTTTTGTTCTAGTTTTTAAGAGTGATAAAGCTACTTTAATAATTCGATAAGAAAAGAATAAAACAATTGTAAACTAACAACATATATATACATAAACAGTTTGTAACATCTTATCCTAACAACCATATTCGCTATAACAACCATTTCCAATCATTCCATCTCTTTTACATTTGATAATATCTCCTAGTAGATTTGAATATTTCTTTACATATTACAAATCATTACAATAATGATTTTCGTCTACCCTAAAGATTTCCCAACGCTGCTTGATATCCCATCGCATAACGATTATCTAAAAGTTTTGAAGGACATGGAAATTGTGGATATTTGGCGTGAAAATTTAAAAGAAATAAATCTAAATCAGACGAGATGTCTGTTAAGGAAACCCAAGTATCATCTGAAATCGGCCTTCCTAACCACCTTAACAAATATTTGGGAGCTGCTTTGCCTTTCTTTCGATAATCCAAAACTGCTGAAACATGCCTCCAATCATGAGTAGGTGCCACTTGTCCTTCTATACGTCTTTCCGGGGTGACACGACCTCCTACAGAAGGAGATATATATGGTGAGATGAGAGAGGTATTAAAAACGGGATGAAGTCTTGAATAGGTACTGCCCAAATTTAATTTAACCACATTTCTTCCAATCATTTGTACTACAGGAAATGGTCCAATACGACGATAATCTAATTTCGATGAAGGCCTAGCCGTGGTTATATTTTGTCGTGACAACCAGACTAATTCCCCAGGCGAATAAACTGGAGCTTCTCGACTGTGTTTGTTGTACTGATCTGCTTGAGCCTGCTTCGCATGCTTCAAAGATAACAAAAGGTTCAATTGAGTTGCTTCTAAGTGTTCCACAAATTTATCAGCATGTGGAACCCTTGAGAATTCGGTGAAACTATTGGCTCTAGGGTGAAAACCTTGCCAAGAAAAAAATGGAGTAAGATTGGTAGAGGAAGAAGTTGAATTGTTAAAACAAAACTCGGCCATGGGTAATAGTTCAACCCAATCATCTTGTCGATATCCAATAAAATGTCTTAAATATGACTCTAAAACCTGATTCGTCCTCTCTGTTTGTCCATTTGTCTGTGGGTGGAAAGCAGTAGAGGGAGCAGGATGTATACGTAGCTGTCTTTGAACAGAAATCCAGAAGGCCAAAACAAAAGTCGAACCTCGATCTGAAACAATTTTATCAGGAAACCCATGATATCGAAAAAATTGAGATATAAAAAGAGATGCTAATTGGGGAGCGCTCATTGATTCCCGACAAGGGATGAAGTGAGCACCTTTTGAAAAATGGTCTGTGATTACTAAAATGGAATCGCAACCGGATGATATAGGTAACTTAACAATAAAATCGATACCTATCGTGCTCCAAGGCCAATCCGGTATCGCAGACGGGATTAATCTTCCTACTTGATTCTGAGTAGAGCGTTTTGTTCTCTGACATGAATCGCAGCTTCGGACAAAATCAATAATATCTTTACGAACAGTTTTCCAAGCAAAGGTCCTAGTCACTGCACTCAACATATGTGCAAGGCCCGGGTGCCCCATGGAAGTAGAGTCATGAAAAGCTGAAAGAATTTGCTGACGAAGTGTTGGCGGAACAAATAACCGATCACGGAACCACCACAAACCTCCTTGAAAAGTAAAAAATGGAGGCGGAGGCTTAGATCCATCAACATTGTCATATTCCTTATATGAATCAATGAGAAGTTGTCGAGTCGCAGCAGAAGGAATGATAAAAGTGGTATCAATAGAACATACTGAAACACCATCTTTTACCATATATGGCTTCAAAAGAGTCATCCTATTTGATTCATTGGATATAACCTCGTAATCAGGACGTCTTGATAATGGATCTGCAGGATTAATTTTTCCTGGAGTATGAAGAATTTGAAAATGAAAAGAACTGAGATAAGAAGCCCAACGCGCCTGCCTAGGAGTTAACTTTTGAGAGGTCATGAAATAACAAAGATTGGCGTGATCAGAAAATACGGTTACTGGAGTAGGAGTACCAGTTAACCAGGCTCGCCATTCTTCAAAGGCTTCAACAATAATGCCTAATTCCTGATCATGTACCTGCCAATTTCTTTCAGCTGGAGTCAATTTACGAGAAAAAAAAGATACAGGTAAAAGATTACCATCCTTATCCGGCTGAGAGAGTATTGCAGCCATTGCAAAACCTGAACAATCAACTTGTAATGACCTGGGTTTCTCAAAGTCAAAATGGGAAAGAAGAGGAGCAACCGTAAAAGCATGTAGAAGATTTTTGAAAGCATAAAAACACTCAGGATTTGCTAAACCAGTCACTACGTCAGCAGTCTTTTGAGTCAAAGCTGTAAGTGGAGAAGAAATGTCTGAAAATTGATGAATAAAACGACGATAAAAATTGGTAAAACCTAAAAATCTGTAAAGCTGTTTCGAATTCACGGGATAAGGCCAGTCAGCAATGGTTTCAACTTATTAGGGTCCATTCTCAGTCCAGTGCTAGAGATAACAAAACCTAAAAAGGTAACTTCAGATTGATAAAAGAGACACTTGTCCTGAGATACACGTAATTCATTCTGTTGCAATTTGAGTAAAACTTGCTCTACATGTATCTGGTGTTCTTGACGAGTCTTGGAAAAAATTAAAATATCATCAATATACACAAAGCATGAAATACCTAAAAATTCAGATAAGACAGATTGAATGAAACGTTGAAAACAAGCAGGGCCATTGGCTAATCCAAAAGGCATTACTAGACATTCAAACAAACCCCAGGGGGTTCTAAAAGCAGTCTTCCACTCATCCCCTTCCCTAACACGAATAAAATTGAAAGCGGATTTTAAATCTAATTTAGTAAAATATCTACAGCCAGAAACCTTAGTTAATAAATCTCCTAACAAAGGAATAGGAAATGAGTCACGGATAGTCATTGAATTTAAAGATCTATAATCTACACAAGGTCGGTTTTTCTTCCCAGGAACCTTAACGAAAAAAATTGGAGAAGCAGCCGGAGATGAGGAATGTCGAATATTGCCTTTTGCTAATTGAGTATCGATCCAATCCTTCATCCTTCAAAAGTAAATAGGAACCACCATAAGTTGGCACAGCGCCCTCCTTTAATCAAATTTCCAGATCAAAAGCTGGTCGATGAGGAGGTAAAGTTGTAGGACCCTGCGAATTAAACACATCAGCAAACCTTCTAAACTCCAAAGGAATTGATTTTTCCCAAGAAATTGAAGAGGGAGCGATGAGAGGAGATGACAATATCGAAGAAGATAAAGAGGGAGTGATGAGAGAGGATGAAAATGCTGAAGAAGATAGATTTGATAATGATGCAAAAGACGAATATTCACCAGTTATCTTAGAAAAACTGTGATTAATCGGTGAGTCCAAACGTAAAGAGGGACCACAACCCCCAACCCAACCGTCATGAGAACGCAACCAGTCCATCCCCAAGATTAGATCATAACCACTTAAACTAGTAACGTCTAATGAAATTGATGATTTAAATAAAGAACCTGTGACATCCGAAATTGACAAAACGCCTTTCCAAGAATGCGTCACCAAACCATCCTTTCCTTCAGAACCGTCAAAAGTAACACACTTCAAAGGAAAAGGTCGAAGCGAAAGAGAAAGATCATGTTTTCGAACAAAAGCTTTGTCCACAAAACTGCCAGAAGCTCCCGAGTCCACCAAAGCTTTGGCCGGAAAAACCACACCGTTAACAATAAGATCAACTGATAAAATAAGACGATGATCCATCGTGGATGAGTTCTTGAAATGAATAGCTGAAATAGATGAAATAGTTGGTTCGTCCGAAATACCATCACCCGTCGGATCAAACATAGGACGAGCATCAAGTGAGTCAGTTTGTAAGTTGTCATAATAAGTCAATTGATCGATATTTTGATATTCTGAGAACAAGGCCGCTACTTGCTGAACCGGATCTTGAGTTGCTACCGCTGCTGGAACACCCATCGCTTGCGGAAACCCAGGATGTTGGAGAGGCACTGGACCTTGTACTGAGGGCAAAGTGTATTGAGTCGGAGATAAATTGTACATATGAGGTGGTAGCTGATAAGGCTGAACCGGGACTTGAGCAAAGCCAGCAGACACATCTTGAAAAGATCTAGGAGGAGCTGAAACATGAGGTTGACGATGATTATTTGCACGTTGCATATGTTGAGGTAAAGCTGACACAGCTGAAACTGAAGAAGGTCCTCGAGATTGATGAAAGTTCATAAAAGTTTTGATTTCTTGAGTCGTCTTTGGAGGAGCGTTAGGACACAAACTCTTACCATCCGGAGTTCAATGAGTAGAGTCATACGGCTTTAAACATTTATGGCACATCTTTCGTGCATGACAGAATTTGACAAAAAATTGAAACAAAATTCCATTCGGCAAGGGCGGAAAAGTTGGGCGAGCATTGATAGCGTTAACGTCGACTTCCATAGCGTTTGGATCACGGGGAATCGGGACAATAGGCGGAGATGAAAAGGAACGTTGAACTGGCAAAGATGAACTATTCGCAACCACATGCATTATTTGTTCTGAAGCCATTGTTGCCACCGCTTGCCTTTCCTCCACAGTCTTACACTTAAACCAATCAGGATGTTTAAGCGCTCAATCCTTAACATCTGGACGAAGACCTCCAGTAAATAAATTTTTTAACACCACATTGGAAAGTTGAAGCTGGAAAGCCATAGAATTAAATCGAGAAATAAATTGTCCAACAGGGAGTTTTCCTTGCTTGAAATTTTGAAGATCCAAAAACAACCTTTCTTCAGCAAACTTATCGCCGAACTTATCTAAAAATTCTTTGAAAAACGAAGCTAAAGAGGTAAGAGGTTCTATCGTGAAAGGAGTTGGTGTGACCGAAAATGCTGATGAGTCCGAAATACCATTTTCGCGATCATTCTGTCTTAGCAAACTTAACCACCAATCATGAGGAGCCGAAGCTAATGGAAAATGACAAGCCACCCAGGTGATTTTTCGATCCTCATTCGCAAAACAAGAAGAAGATGAAAAGAGAGTATCTCGAATTGTAGTGATAAAACCTGGAACCTTTCGAGCATCTCCACTAAAAACGAGATCCGGTAAAGCAGGAGGTTCCGCAGACCGAACTAAAGTCGAAGAATGCCTGACAGAGATTAATTCTTCGTCCAAAACATTGAGAACATCACGTTTCACCGTGGCAAAAGTCGAATCCAAACCTTCTTTAAGTTTTGCATCAAAGTGATCAACAGAAATTTTATTACTGAACTCCGCACGTAAAGCCATCATCACATCATTTTTTGCTCTAATGATAGCATCATTAACTAAAGTTACCACCGCATCTGAAGCACTTGCATTTCGTTCATCAAAGACCTTCGTAACCGACTTATTAAAAGCATCCAAACGTGGTTCCAGATAACGATTAACGAATTGTTGTTCAGTTGAAGAAAGCTGATAAGCTTGAGATTGTGGCGATGCATCAGAAGCAGACATGATTAAGAGTGTTAAAAGAAAAATTGACAAGTATTGAAATAGATGTTGAAGAATTTTTAAGATTTGAGAGGTAAGTTGAGAAGAACACCAATTTCTTTAAAGAGATAAGTCGATATGACAGAAAGATAAAGAAACAAAAAATATAAACAAACAAAATAACCATTCTATACACATATATAATATAATGACGTAATAACAAGTCCAAACGAAAAGGGGATACCCTATATCTAAAAGTAATAACAAGTATATACGGAAAATCCTCCACGGAGACACATATAAACAGGATAAGATGATTAACAGATAAAAGAATATAACTAACTCTCTAATTGATATATCTGAATATAAGAAAAATAAACACGAGAAAAGAGTAAGAAAAATTATGAAAAAAAAGAAAATAACACGCAAAAAATAGCTAAAAATTATTTGTAATGATTGAATTATACTGTAAGGGCTCTTGTCTAGGGTCTCGTGGAGCATTGCTCTTATCACGAGTTTTGTTCTAGTTTTTAAGAGTGATAAAGCTACTTTAATAATTCGATAAGAAAAGAATAAAACAATTGTAAACTAACAACATATATATACATAAACAGTTTGTAACATCTTATCCTAACAACCATATTCGCTATAACAACCATTTCCAATCATTCCATCTCTTTTACATTTGATAATATCTCCTAGTAGATTTGAATATTTCTTTACAATATTACAAATCATTACAGGGGTTCCTTTTCCTTGAAGGCATGATCCCACGGCTGCTTCCCAGCTGGTGGCACCGGGGCAGTGCGCGAAGTTGAAATGATTTTCTTTGTGGGAAGACACTTCAAGAAAGTCCCTTGGTGCATTAATCAAGTTGAATCCGCATGTCTCGGCATGAGGAAAATGTCATTGGAGCCCCTCTGCGAGGGCGCGCGGCCGCGCAGATAGGGCTTTGTTAAGCTTAAGGTTTTGCACCATGATGCGCATTTCAAAAAAAAACATTCATTCTCAAATTGCAGGTTGTGTACATGTCCATTCAAAGCCACGCGTCATCGCCTATGAGCACCAAGCAGAACTTGGAGTGCAACGATCAATCGAGATGAAGAACCTGAGAAAAGGAAAGAAACGAGTTCCTCGAACCAAAGCAGAATCTGACGCACTATCCGAGTCTGACCAAAATTTACTTTGTCGACTGCCGAACGAGCTCCTTCTCGAAATCATAGAATACCTTCTCGACGACTTCAGCAAACCTGCAAAGAATCACCAGAAGAAGATCGAACAGGGAATTACTCTTTCATCAGGACATATGTCGCGTTTATGGATCTATCAACATAATGCTGATTCTCCAATCATGTCAGATTGTCAAGCATTTTCTCTAGTCAATCGTAGGGTATATTCTCTCTGTCGGCCTATCATATGGGAGGTCAGTTGGATTCGGTTCACTGGAGCGACTCAGCCTAGATCACTGTTATCTAATGCTGATCATCCCATCTGACCCTCTCAACTACTACGTTTTCTTACTCCACCGCTATAGTACCTCCAATTCCCTTCTGATATATCCACCCCAATGTCCTTCTGGAATCATGAGTTATTACCACGATACGGATGTCATGTTGAGGCGCTAGACGTAGGCTTGACATACGAGTGGCTTCGTGAACAGAAAAAACCACCCTCTATCAAACGAGCCGCCAAAGACAAGACTAAAAATCGCTACTCACTGCGGTCATTTAGTATCAATAAACTCAAATTTATTGACGAGGATAAGGATTATTGGGAAGTTGATAGAATTCATTACAATAATTTAAAAGTCTGTGCGTCTCGAGAACCTGTTAGTAAGGACGACATGAGGTTTCGGAAATCATTCGGTCTTGGTCCTGAAAATTTGGTCAAAGTCATTTCTTATTGCGATAATCTCACCGCGCTGTATCTCCATTGTCCGGATAGCTGTGACCCTCCTCGCGCAGAAGAAATGCATAATTTGGCTGATAATTTTAACGCACTGTTTTCGGAACTCGGTCGTCTTGAATATCTCAATATCCGAGGTCCTTCCGGCTCAACCATACTATCAGAGTGCCTCCTCGAACCTATCGCTCATCTTCCACTCCTCGAATCACTCGAGCTTGCATATGTTTCACATAAAGACTCGGAAAAGGTTGGCAAGCTTGCGATCTGTCTCTCTAAACTAAAAAATCTCAAAGAGCTCGTGTTGGATGACGTCAATGCCATAGATGGCTCTTGGGGTTATCATGAAGGTCCACCTAAACTAGTCGATCTTGCAATTATCGAGTGTAACCAGCTTTATCTCTCAGATATGCCCATGTCTATCAGTGCTTGGGCTCCTAACCTGACTCACTTGGAAATCAAATTTATGGAATATCTTGAACCTCAAGAAGACTTGTCAAACTTCAATCCAGATCATCATCAATTTGAATTACCGGAATTAACTCATTTGACCATCTGGCCTCATTCTGAATGTCAATTTTTCTATTGCTTCAAAGAGTGCAAAAATCTTTGTAATATTAACTTTTATTTATTCTTCAGTGATGAACTCATAGATCACATTAAAGCGATTTTTAACTTTCTTTCACTTAAAACATTACCTGAACTTGAAGTCATCAATTTATCTATGGATCATCAAAATTTTCCACTGCAACCTGATGTCAATGAGATTCTGTCTTCGATGGGTGATTTCTTGAAGGGTAGAGGAGTCCAAATGAAATGGTTTGACGAAAATGTTCCATACAAGCTTCAACGCAGTACAAAATTCTTTATGTCTTAAGAATGGATAAAATTTAGATTTTCAAATTAGAATAACAGTAGTACTTCTGGCAGCTAGCAAAGTGGACATAGTTTTAATGGATCCATTTTGGACTTTCGAAAAATACCAACCGGTAGAAGTATAATGTGCTGTTTGCAAACCTTTCTTGAACACCTTGAGCTTATCAAAACAGGTTTTGTGAGTGAACATTTGCACTTTTTTTGGTGTGTGAAGCAATTGGAATCAATTTTGCCTCTGATAAGGTTAACCACTCCTGTAGGCTCTCACTTCAATCAAGAACTTTATGGCAAATGAAATGATCAAGATTTTCATAGAAAAAATATCATCTTTGTCTATCTCTTATGAAAGCTAATGTATATAAAATTATACCTCACAGCTTCTTTGCGATACAAGAAGCATGTGGTAAAATAGTACAAGCATCAAACTCTCTAATTGCATTATCAATGGTTATCCTCTGTACATGCCCTCTTGGATTTTAGTTGGGAAGTTGAACAAGGTAGAACTAGGAAGTTTTAGTTGTCTGTAATCACGATGAGCTGATTCTTAGTCAAAATTTGTTTATAGAAATTCAAAGACAAAAAAATTATCTCCTTGTGTATTGTCAACAAAGATTTCAAAGTTTTTTCACATGTTCTAACATAAATTCATATTGGATCATTTTACTGTTGTAGAACTTAAAGCTCAACAAGAGCTTTACAGAGCTTAAAGAGAGATAATCTACTAATATAACTAACTAGTAGAAGTTGCCTAAGACTGCCTCTTTGAAAGAATCAACATGGGGTTTTGCTGAATTCTTTGGGATAAGGCACCAGAGAAATTGTTTCAATACTTAAGTCAAGTATTATTCCCGTGAGTTTTAGAAATAAAGAAATCTCAACACTGCTATAGTGTAATTCCAATCTGAGCACAACAAAACACACTTTTGAATTACTAGCAAAGCAACAATCAATTAGATTGTTATTCCAAAGAAGACTTGTAATCTTATCACACGTAAAGAAATCTCTTCTTTGATATAAAGCGGCAATTTAGTGAACTTAGTACTGATAAAGTAATTTAATTATGATTAAAAACACTCTAACAAAAGTATAAGATGAGTAAAAAAGGGGAACAAAGGCACGTAAATTCCTTAACAATAGTATATAACACTCCAACAATCCTCAATAATGGTCAGCAGCCTCCAAAAACCTTCAAAAACTGTCAAAAATCAACAGAAATCCTCCAATGTAACCATATGATGTCATAAATATTATTATTTGTAATGATTCAAGGCGTGAATTTGATCAATTGATGTTAATAAATTATGAGCGGATCTTCTTATGATGAATACAGGTGATTTTTTCCTAATATTCATAACTGAAATCCATTTTTGGAATTACAAATTTTTTGTAAAGTTGTTCAACTTTGGATTACTATAGCTCATTTGATAGCCCTCGTGATACTGATCATTTATCACCCCCATATGACCCATGTCTGATGTATGATGAATAAGTTATTGAGCTGTAAAGATTGAGAAAATAAGCTTTTGTCATGTAAATGTTATATGTAACCACCAAATTTGAAATTCACTCCAGTTTCTTTGTTGCCTTATAACTTTTCTACTACTCCTCCATTACTAATGATTTAAAGGTTTTACATTATGAAACCAATGATTCTGCGTCGAATGCACTATCACATACCCAATTCTGACAAGTTTTGACATATGTAATTAACTGAAAACCTCCATTTTTGATGAATTTTGACCATTTTCACGTCTAATAATGATTTTTCTTCTATCAAAAGATCATCCACAGCATTCCAATCAACCACAAAACCATAAAATCCTTCTGAAAAACCCTTGGCGCAACCAATCCTTCAATGACATCACTACACAGGAATTAATACCATAGTACCCTTTTTTTGAAATACCCTCTTTCTTGAATAATTTCACACCTCCCTTATCAATCCTTGTGATTAAAGTTGCTGATGACTAATGTTGTATCTCTCTGTCATAATAAAACCTTCCTGAACCAATAACTCTTATAATCATAACCTAAAAACCATTTTCCAGCCTTTCATACCCATATTTTCGAAATTTCCTTCAACTTTCTTAATATTGTTCTTCTTCTTTCATTCTTTTCATGAAAGTTTCCATTCTTTAAGATCCAAACTAAATGTTCTTCTTCCTCAAATCCCTTCTTACTAATTCTTTTAATTTGATTTTCACTCTTATACTATTTTTACTGATCTTTTTGAATTTTTCTTAACTCTTAAATGTTCTTATCATTTGCTTATGTAAATAAATGATTTAAAAGATAATGAAATGCAGATTATAAATCAACTTTGATAAACTTGATGACTAATAGTTTCAATAATAAATTTGCCTTTGACCAAAAATACAAATTTTCACATAATTTTTAATTTTTTTGCTTAAGTAGAGATCTTGCTCACCACAGCGTACATACTCGCTTTGAGTACCATAAATGGCTATCAGCATACAACCACCATTAGTATTCTCCCATGGTAGTTCCTGATGCTTTAGATATAACTGAGAAAAAAATGGACAGTGTTGCAGATTGAAACAGGACACTCAGCACTAATTATACTACACAAAGTTCTTCTGGAACTTTTCCACAAAAGTTCCAGAACATCTTTTCCACGAAGCCAGGAAGCCAGATTGGGTTCTGCCTTCCTGGACTTTGTTTATAAAATCCCCACACCCGCTTAACTCCAACTCACCAGCACATCATGTCCAACGACATTCCGCCTTCTGATGATCCACCCAGTTCAACTGACCCTCCAACGTCTCCACATGATATAGCTCAACCCATCTTAACCCCAGTGCCTTTTCAATTTCATCCGTCTGCCATCCCGTCCTATTCAGCCTTTCATGTAAACCAAACTTCGCCCAATTATTTCTCGACTCCGATACCTTCAAATTATCACTCGGGAATCATCCAAACAGGATCTTTGGGATCTTCCTTCAATTTGATGACTTCCCAGCCCCAAACTCAATCAAATAAACACCCAAAACCTGATGCCAAAGGTGGGAAGTCTCAATCTTCTTCAACTCGTAAACAATGTTCGAAAAAACCCAAGCCTCCTCAATCACCATCACGTGGCAAGAAGGAAATTAAAGGCAAGAAAGGCAACAAAAGTGAAGAAAACGTACCTTGTAGAAAGCCGCCCGTCAAGTGGGAGAGTCAGAAAAACAAAAAAGGCAAGAGTGCTATGAGCATCCTTCTGAATTAGATTACGACGTACAAGAATTGGGCTCAGTATAAGTCAAACAACAACTATAAGTCAGCTACTCTAGAAGTCATTGTCTCTTACTTAGCTGCGAACGGTATTCATGACCGCACTCCGAAGATCGTAGGAACCAAGGTCAGTGTTTTACTTCGGGAAACAGAAGTTTCATGACATGGTTGTCGCTGATTCAGATTGGTATCTTCAGATAGCAACTCTCAAAGCTCAGTTTAATGAGGCTAAAAGATGGATTGACCAGACCGGTCAAGGAGCAATGGATCATCTTGAAGCCAAAAAACAAACGAAAGGTTGGGAAGACGAGGATCCAGCTTATGTTGCTCGAAAGAGAGTGTTAGTCGATGGTCAGTAAATTTCAATGTTATTGATATGTTTGACTACACTGATGTTTGTTTGATACAGCGTACATTGAGGCCAGATGCAAATACTATTGGCAATTAGAGCCTGTCATGGGCCAACAAGACAAGGCTACGAGGCTTGCTAGTGTTAACAGTGCTCGCCGGGCCAATCCGGACGACTCTTTAGCCTGTTTGGGTTTACCTGCCGATGATCAACCCGTACAGGAGATGTTAGATGTGGAAGATACACATGGCTTAGAGCTAAGAAATGACGATGATCACTCACAAGCATCAAATGAAGAGGATTAATCACGCCTCATCATATCCGAGCCAATCAGAAAGAACAAGGACAATGATTTACCTAATGAAGACTTTAGACGCATTCTTGATGATGTTGATTTAGAAGGTGAGAACTCCATCTTTCGGTGACCAATTATAACATACTGAGTGCTTCAACTTTCAAACATCAGATTCTCAAAGCACTTTGAATTTGCTCATCACCTACACGCCAAAAACGACTAATACTTTGAATCAATATGACACAGAGTCTTCTAAATCAGCTACCAATCCATCCGTTAAGAAAAAAAACAAAGTGAAGGGTAGTGCGGAATCTAAAATAAATGACTTGCTCAACGAAAAAACCGACTCAGTCAAGTCAACTATCAGCAAGTTTGAAGAATCCTTAATCAAGTCCATTCCGAAAACCGACGCTCTGGGGAACGCAATTAAGGACTTAGCCACCATCCTGAAACCAAAAGACGACCCAAGATCATTGTTATCAAAAGAGGAACAACTTACTCAAGCACGTTTGGATGCGGAACTACATAGCTTGAAAGTTGAATCAGCTCAATTGGATGTCCAACGCACCAAACGTGCTATGGATATGGAATATAGAGTTGCGAGGGGTAAATTCATTGCCCAAGTCATGGCAGAAAATCACATGACTCTGGATCAGGCGAAGGAAGTCGCGGCGGAAGTTTTCCCCAACATTGTAAGTAATAACCTTTGACTTATACATCAGTTTGAGTACGCACCTTATTAAGATTGGTTACACTATTTTCCCTCATTTCTCAGGATTGAGTTCGATACCAATTATTCTGTACATAGATCATTACAAAATGATCCATGTTAACTTCATGCAAATTCTTGGTTCCAACTTGACCTGAACAATGGAACCAAGATTTGCTACTTTTTCTTTCTTACAATTTTGAAACAGTTTGTGCGCAAAAGAGCCTGTTCTTTTTGTTGTAGTGTCTTCTTCCTTTAAATGATTTGTGCGCATTCAGTTCAAAAGAACCCCAGTGATTGTAATACACCAGAAATCAACACAAAGGAAATTGTATACACACAAAAGCCAACATTTTCTTTTGTTTTATGAAAATAAATACTATGTTATTGCCTCTCAAAACCAAAAAGAAAAAACAGGCCCAAAGTTGAACACATTGAGTTTCATCTGAGATGAGATGCTATTGACAATAGCATCTCATTTTAGAGTTATGAATACTTTTCATATCTCTAATCTCCTCATTAAACAGGACTCACAATCTCTATCAAGGTTCTCATGAACATCCAACTAATTGACTCAAAATTGACTTTGCCTAAACGGCAGTTCATTTCTGCAAAATCGGTTAAATATTTCCAAAATACACTCTCCTATGTTATATCAACATGTTTAGTTTCAAAAAAAGTAAACAACAATCTTGAAACTTGAAACTATTTGAATCAGTTGCTAGTACAACTGATAATAGTGATAATAGGCAAACTAATTCCAACAACAATACTTATAAGCCCCTAATGGCTACAAAACTTTCATAAAGTGCCTTACGTCGAGTGTCATCTCTTGCGGTTTGAGGGTGTGAGTAATGCACGGAATTATAAGCACGTCAATTAATTGAGCTTATAAAAGTAAAAGAGACGAAACAGATCGTGTTCTTTATTTCTTTGATACAATATGATAAAATAGAAAAAGAGATAAAGAAAACATGAAAGTAAGCTTACCTGTGAGTAATGCACGGAATTATAAGCACGTCAATTAATTGAGCTTATAAAAGTAAAAGAGACAAAACAGATGGTGTTCGAATCTTGGTGCAAAACCTCACAGGTATATGTAGCCACAAATACTAATAGAAGAGAGAGTTAAAAGACAATGACATGTGTATTATGAAATATAATGTAACCAGAATGGTGTATTATCAAATACCGTAGCATAGTAACAGAGATCAAAAAAGAAAACAAATCAAATCATAATTCAGAAATAGGAAAATCAAATAATGAAACATAACCGTAATTCATAAATAACCAATAACCAATAGAGGGTGCACGTCATCACCGTAAGGTCCTGCATTTTGAGGTGCTCTTCTTGGAATGGCAGTGTCGACTAGGCCTTCTTCAACTGTCCCAAACTCAAAATGCTATCTGTCATCACTACTAGTGCTGTAATTGTGGAGAAAGATACAGACCCAAATCCAAACGTTTGCTCGCTGGGCGCTGCGTGGCCCATTGAGCAAGATGTGTAGCTCCTTCAAAGACTGAAATCGACCTTTGAGCATTCCAATGCTCTGTTCAATTATAACTTGAATTTTACTTAGTTCTTGATTGAAGGCCTCCTGATGGTCGCAAAGAGGTTGACCAGGGGCACGTTTAAAGGGGGTAATGACGCTCTGAGATGTAGTATATCCTGAATCGGCTAACATATACTCATCTTCAGATAAATATTCACTTGGATTGAAATACAGCTAGGAATGGAATGTCAGAATACATTACAGAGAGATGGAGCAAAAGCACTTACTTCGGAAGAAAGGTAAGCTCTTTGATCGTGAGCTGATCCACACCAACCCAGTTTGTAATACCTGAATAGCTTATGTACATCACATACTAACATAACATTAAACGCATAAAACTGTTTCCGAGTCCAATAATCTTTTGGATTTTGTACAGGTGCAAAAGCCAGGGGAACGAGATTGCCGTCCATGAAACCCACACAGTCTTTGAAATGACAGTCTTGAAGCTTTGATTTTAGTTCGCGGTGTTCCTCAACGTTCGGCCAGTTGACCCATTTTTTTTTGATTTGAAGAATCACATACATACACCGATTAGTCCAATTATGGACACTTCCCTCTATAAAGAAAGAAAACATTAATCAGGATTATGGAAGATAAGTACAGCAAAGGGACTTACCAGATATATGAAACATGTAAGCAAGATGGGAGATATCACCCCCGTTTCCTGAGGTTCCCAGATTAGCGAGGGCCACCAAAAGCTGCCATGCTACAGGAGCCTGTTTGTTATCAGACCGGTTTTGAAAAACATGACTATCTTGAATACATTTCACTAAGTTCCAAAATTGTTCATGAGTCATTCGAGCCTACATCACAAAAAGAATCGTAATTCAAGTCATATATCCTTAAATTTCAGTGTGAGCACCAACCAAGGCACGACTTGGTGCGGAGTTCCATGAATGTGTAGTTGTGTAAGAGACGTAAGAGAATATGCTTGTAGCGAGTGAGGGCACGCTGCGAACAGTTGCCGCAAAGAAATTTAGAACAAAATTTCACATTCCGCAACGCACCAACTTGCACCAAGCAAAGACTCTCTAACACAACTCAGTGCATCAAGCTCGAGTATATATCAATTTCAAAAGAATTTAAAAAGATTGGATAGAAGACATTCTTAGACAAAGCAAGATGACGACTTTCGAACAAGAATTGGCAGAATCCAGGAAAAGAGCGGAAGAAGCACTGAAAAACGGAGAGTCAGGACCGGGGACGAGGAGCAAGTCGAAGACGAGAGAGGGACCACCAGTGGACCCGTCAAGAATTGTGTTGGCTCATTAACTCCACACAGAATGGAAAGCTACAAGATTGACCTGAAGAGTTGACCTGAATCACTTACAATCGCTAAGAAAGGGTCACCACCTTCTTCAAGTTTATGAGGAAAAGCAATGTTTTGGATTCCTTTACGTTGACACGCTGGTCGGTCATGCACATAGCGAGTGGAATTTAATATCTTGAGGGATTCTTTGAGTAAATCTATCTCATTTCCAGCAAGTCTCTGTAGACAACGACCAAGCAGAACAAGTTTGCAGGATTCTGTCCGCGCCAAATGAAACTCCAAGGTACCAAGCAAAATAAGTAACAGTGGCCTTCTTTCCTCAGAATCATCCAAATGATCTTCCTGACCATCCTCGGATTGCTGGTTAGTATGTAGATTTTGGTTGATGATGATCACTTGAAGACATCGTATTAAGAACAGGCTTTTGGCATCCGTCTTCTTCTTGAAGGCCAGAATAGCCGCGTGATTATTGGAAACTTGTTTCATTTGATCAATAGCGACATGTACGTAGTGTTTAAGTCGATTGCGGCGTCCCTTTCGGGCCATAGGGCGGGGTTTGACGGAGGTGAGGTGTAAGCAAGGTGTAAGCTGGGAGTGACGTGAAGAGATCAGATGGGTGGTGGTGCAGGGAGGGAAGAGGAAGGTGACTTGATGCACAAAGCAGGGATGTATTGGACCCTAGGGTCCTGGAAAGGGCATTCAAATATCTTTTTTTTCCACAAGTCCACGAATCCAGAATACAGCCAAAAATTTCTTTTCTGGCTTTGTGGAAAAGTGTTCTGGAACTTTCGTGGAAAAGTTCCAGAAGAACTTTGTGTAGGACAAATTATACAGTTGTTCTCAGAAATGTTGGAAAAATGCAAAATCTCAAGCTGAGCTCGGGGTCCGTGCGCTGAGCAGTGACACACAGATACAAACACTGACAAAAACTTTGATTTTGACAGGTATCTCAAGATGAAAATTTGATTACTTTCCATCATACCTCAATGAGCACACTACTATCTTGCCAATGGCCAGGCTAACGGACCAATGTCTTCAGAAAAATGGTGAAAACATATGATTTCATGGTTAAGGGATTGTAACACAAGCTGAGGATCAGAGGAAGGATGGCATGGAGAGGACACAAGGGAGTTGAGGTTGGTCAAAGGGACACTGATCTCACTCGGCAGCTGCCATGACTTTTCCATGACACATGCCATGAAAAAGCCGCCTCCTCGGGACCACGACCTCAGCTTGAAATGTTGGATTTTTCCAACATTTCTGAGAACAACTGTACTAGCTGGGCCAAATGAGAAGATTTCATTTGGGATTGTACCACCGATGAGTAAGATACATGCATTGTTACTCTTCAATCCAGCAGCAACCCAAACTGTGAGATCTATTCACTCACATCCTTGGACAAACTGATGGCCCAAGCCATTCGCACAGACAATGAAGATACTCATTTCCCAATGAAGCTCATTGACCTTAACGTCATTGAACTGGACTCCCATGAAGATAACAATAAGACATTCCTACCATTTTACCCCTGCCTCATATGTAACATCCTCCTTGACACAATAATCAATAGTGGCACCACTGCCAACTACATCTCAACCAAACACGTCAAAAAATGAAGGAACTATGTCCAGGCAGGATTGAGATTGAGAGTGTGGAGATTCAAGGTGTTAGATTAGCTAATGATACTCAGGAATTTTGCAACGAGGTAGCTATCTGCAAAGCAGAATTTGAAAGCAAATGAAGCATGGCTACATTTAAATTCAACGCCAAGGCCTTTATCCTCCCCCGTCCCAATATTTCCTTGATTCTTGCCTTAACTTGGTTAAGAGAAACCAAGCCCCTCATCAAATTCACTACAGGAGTTTACATTGTCCAGAACAGATTTGGTGTCAGGCCCGAAGACTATGAACCAAGACTCTTCACCATTGAAGATAACATCTTTGTTGATAATTTGCTCAGATAGCAAAAGTAATTGCCCCAGGATGTTGGAAGGAGGAAATAGGTACATGGACCGTAAGTCACACACTTGTGTTTCATTCTCAATCTTTCAGCATGCTTGTTGGACTCCTGGTCACAATATGCAGTTCAATATTTCTACTATTGTCCCTGTTTGTAAGATTGCTTGAGCTCTTATAATTGTGATTGAGTTGTTCTTTACCAACTGAATCTGTAAGACTTGTTGATGATGAGAATGAATTCAGATGAACCAATTTTGAGAATCTGATGGATTTTCACCTTTGTTGACCTGATCCTTCTTTTCTGAACTTCATTTCTATCCATTCGATTTTAAGAGACTTGTTCAATCAACTTTTGATATATAAACCTTTGTCTGCACTATCTCAGTCTTAAAAAGTTCATCATAGGTTATCAAAGCTTTATCGTCATCTTCTCTCTCATCTGACCTCCTTCCAGCTTCGATCGATCAAAATGAAGCACCCAAGACAAGCTGAAAAAGATTCACTCAATCGATTACCAGATGAAGTGATTCTTGATATAGTAAAACACATTCTTCTCGATACTAGCGAACTTGTTGATAATCACCTTAAAAAGGTCAAACAAGGAAACACTCTTGAATCAGGAAAAGAGACGAATCTATGGATTTATGAACATAAACCTGAATCGCCAATAATGACCAGTTTTCAAGCCTTCTCGGTCCTCGATCGCAGGATATACTCTATCTGTCAGCCTTTCATATGGCAGGTGAGCTAAACTTTTCTTGTCAAAGGTACTGAACCGATGCACTAGCATGTATTGATTATTATCGATTCCGGCCCTCCAGTATCTCCGATTTCCTTCGCCATTATCTATGCCGATGTCATTGTGGAATGAAGAAGTCTTATCGAAACACGGATGCCATCTCGAAGTCTTAGAGATTGGGTTAAGGTCGCAATGGCATCAAATACCCGAGAACCCAACTTCTATCGAACGTGACCAAACTCAACATCGCTATTCACTCCGGTCTTCTGATGTGAGGAAAATCAAGTTTATTGAAGATGACAAGGATTTTTGGAAGGTCGAAAGTGTTCACTGTGACAATTTGAATGTCGGTCCTAAACGCGACTCGACTGACCATGAAGAGATCCTCGCGCTCCGCCCATCCTATGGTCTTTGTCCTGAAAGCCTTGCCAAAGTAATTTCTCATTGTTCAAATATCAAGAGTCTTCATCTTAGTTGTCCGGATAATTGGTATAGACCTCCTACCTCAAAAGAAATGAGCAACCCGAGTTACAATTTCAGTAGATTATTTTCTGAGCTCGGAGGTCTTCAACATCTCAAGATCAGAGGTCCTCAGTACTCAACAATTCTCGTAGAATGTTTTATTGAACCAATCTCCCATCTTACATTACTCGAATCACTCAAGCTCGCCCGTATTTCTCACGAAGACTGTGAAGCCATCAAGAACCTCGATACATGTATTTCTAATATTCAAAATCTTAAACAACTTGTGCTAAATGAAGTTGATGTCATAAACTGGTCTTGGGGTCAACATCAAGGACCTCCTAATTTAGTAAAACTTACGATTCGAGATTGTGCTCAACTTTGTTTACCAGATTTACCTTGGCTTATCAGTAATTGGGCACCGAATCTAACTCATCTAGAGCTCAAACCTGATGAAACTCTAGACATCTTACCAGGAGTAGAACCTCCAGTATTCGATCTCGAGAGGAATTTATTTAATTTACCAAATTTAACGAATCTGACAATCTGGCCAGCTAATGAATGTCATTACATTCATTCATTTAAATATTGTAAAACCTTACAACACTTAAAATTTTATCAATTTCATAACTCAAATCTATCAGAAGAATTATCTGAAATTTTTAATTTGATTACTTTAAATGAATTTCCTAAACTTAAATCAATAAGTTTACCTTTAGATTTAAAAAATTATCCATTAGGTGCAAATGTGACATTTATTTTATTTCAATTAAATTCATTTTGTAATTCTAAAAAGATTCAATTTGATTATTTTAAATGTGATGTACCCTAAAAATTTATGAGTGAAAAAATCAAATTTGTTTCTTTAAACATTAAAATTGATTGATTGTATTATTTTAATTGAAGTGAAGGGTTTGGCATATTTACATCGTATCATATAGTCAATCTACTTTTGTTTCCAGAATTCAGTGCTGTTTACCACAAAATGTAGTCAAATCTTATTCCCATTTAAACCTAGTAATATTGATGTTTTCATCTTATCTTTTGATGTATCATTTATCTCAACTGCTTCATCTGATGTCAGTGTCATTTGTTTCTCATAATTTAAAAACTACAAAAAAGTTGGTATTTCTATCAAAGCAAATTGTTAATGTTGATTCATCATTTTTACCCGTACAAATCCTTGCAATGCTCATTCCAAAATTTTCGATAAAAACCTTTTGCTTCTTACCAAGGTTTTTGAGTAATCTAGAGTTAAAAATTTGACTTTGAACTGTATGAATCATTTCTAATGTTTTTTCTTTCAATTCTCTTGAAGAGAAGGGAAATGAGAAGAAGTAGCTAGTCACAAAGGGTGAATGGATGAAATAAGTAGAGAATTTTAGTAAAGATAAAATTTGATGATGATCTAAAGGATAAGTTGTTTCTGCATCAAAAATAAATTTATTGCACATTGTGTGATATAAGAGTTCAACACTATTCATGTGAACACAGGATTATGTATTGTTCATGGCCCCACAGCTTCTATGACAAGGCTGTTAGTGATTTTCCAGTTTTACTTATATTACTCAAGCCTTCAAGATTCCTTAATTGATTGGTGATTAAAGAATTAAATGACAGGAATTAACAATTTTTCTTATCTCAATCAGATCACTCAATAACCTTTACATTAATTCAGGCAAAACCCACACCATCAAAAAGATAGAGCTCATAATAGTTTGGGCAAACACTATCTATCAATTGTGTTTCTGATCACATTGGCTATCAATCCATCCCATCTATGGTTTTGAATGTTTTACAATTTGATGAAAATGAAATTTAGGATTCATCACACAGTCCTCACAATTTATGTTAATCACTGTCATAGTTCAACTGTTGCAGGCATGCCCACGTCTTTGCTAGTCTCCACAAAATGCCACCATAAGGCTGACATGGGAGATCCTGTAAGGTATAAAGGATGGATGAAACTGTCTTGTAGCTTCTGATCATAGTTGTCTCCTTCACAGTGTCCTTTTCTGGCTTTCCTTTAGTCAACCTCTTGCATAGTTGTTCTGTATTCAAGCCAAACTCATGACTCTTCAGTAGGGTCAGGTGGTGGGCACGTATTTGACAGGGAGAGGCACACCCAGGCGCAGAATCCATTGTCTGGGACGTGCCCAAACAGCAGGGGGCGTGTAAGCGCGCCTCTGAAGCAAAAAAAGCATTAAAAACATGAAAAAATCTTCTCAAAAACAGCAATCAAGGCTGTGATGAAGCTGAAACACAAATGAGGATGTGAGAAAAGCTGTTTCAAGTCAGGATCACCACACATTCAAGATAACCACCATAGATTTTTTTTGTTCAAGAACTATTTTAAGGGTCTTGCAACTCAGATGAGCAACCAATAGCAGAAAAATCCCAAGTGGGGCTCCTCCGTAGGGCTATCTCTGGCCTGAAAGCTAAACAGACCAAAACAACAACATACTATAGGCTTCCTCTAGTCCAAGAAGACCTTCTACACTCAAACTTAACAAAGTCCCTCGCGCCAAAGGCCCGAGGCTTGAGCGAGGGACTTACGGCTAATGTGAAATTTGAAGTGTGAGATCAAGATGGGCACCGGTTGATATCCGGCGTCTCCAGCCTGTTCCAAAGACAAAACCAACGGGCTTTTGTCCTATCCGTACCGATCAGAGAACATCCGATCGGTTTTTTGAAAAAAAATCTTTCATCCAACAACCGAACCGGCTATCCGCCGGTTATCCGGCCGCTATAGCCGAAAAAGGCCTGTAAACGTTTTTTTTTCTTTATTTGGGTTCAAGCTGCAATATCCATTCACTTTCAACTTTATCTTTACCTTCCCCACCTCCTTGAATCCTTCTGACTCCCTCTGTTCCCGGTCAATCCACAAGATTACCGCTTTATACTTATTTTAAGATGTCTCAAGCCGCCCCCAGTAGTGTCTCTGGGGCAAATACTGATTCAACGTCTCAACCCGAACCCTCCGATCTGACGGAAGATACAAGTATCACCACACTTCCAGCAAGCTACGTATGGAAATACTTTAAAAAACCACAAGATCAAGAAACCAATCAGTGTCGCTTCGTCATGGCCGACGGAAACAAATGTGGCAAGCAGTTGTCTTGTGATAAAAAGGGTAGTACTACCTCCATGAAAAACCATCTTGAATCTAAGCACGGTGTCCGTGATGGCAATCCCGATCAAGGAAACATCCTAGCTGCTTTCAAGAAAGTAAAGACTGGTCATTTGGTGAGTGTTTTCACTTCTTTCTTTTCTTTTTCACTTCTTTAATTTCTTTTTCGCATCTTTCACTTCTTTAATTTCTTTTTCGCTTCGTTTATTCCTTTTTCGTATCTTTCACATTTTATTACTTCTATTTGTTATATTAAATCCCTTTTATTTCTTTCCTTTTTCTTGATTTTCTTTCATTTTCTGATGATGATCTATCATCTATTTAGAACGCACTCAACCTCACCAGCGTGAATACTAGTATCTGTTATCTTATAGCCGATAACGATCTCTCCTTTTCTATTGTCGAGAAACCCTCTTTTCAATGCCTGTTATCACTTTGCAATCCTCATGTTATGTTAGTCAAACGTCACGCCATTGCTAGACACATGCGAAAGTTATATTATCATTACAAAGATCACATCAAGAAACTTTACTTGGGACCAGCCAAATCAATCACGATCACCCAAGATGCGTGGACATCTCCAAATAATGTTGCCTTTATGTCGCTTACTTGTCACTTTATAACGGAAAACTGGGATCTCATGGACATCACGCTGGGAATCGCGGAAATCAAAGGTGAGATTTTTATTACATTTTGTTTTCTATCATCAACTGACGCTCATTTTTCCAATTTCCCAGGTGCACACAACGCCGATAACTTTGCTAGGTTTATTGTTGATTATCTTGATCACTAAGTACAATCTTAAGGCCAAGCTCAATGCGATGACGGCCAACAACGTTGGGACAAATGCAGCTATCAGTCGAGTCATCGGACAAACAGATGGCATTGAGTTCGATCATCAGACCCAGGTTCATGGGTGTGTCGTGCATGTGATTAATCTCGCCGCCAAAGACGGACTCAAAGTTTTCGGGCAACTCCTTGATTCCGACAAAGACAAAGAAGACCACTCGAATCAGATGGCTCTTCACAACCTAGTTGATCCTCCCGATGTTGCTCAAGTTGATCTCAAGACAATCTATTCTCGATGCCATGGACTTGTCACATCCACCCGGTCCAGCCCTCAATGTGGTTCTCATTTCGCCAGTATCGTCAAGATGAGACGCAAAATTGCTAACTTGATGGTTCAAGATCAGCCTCAGACTTCCTCGGAGCCAGCTACCAATGACCCTGCCAATGTCGATGCTCTCAACTATCTCTTAGAAGGTCCAACTATCGATAAAGTTGAACCAGCTCGTCCAAAACGCCCGGTTGTCACGGCCACTCGGCTGATTGTGGATGTTCCAACCCGTTGGAACTTGTCATATCACATGTTTTGAAGACTTCTCCGCCTATGAGAAGCATGTGACGAGTTCTGTAAGGGTAAAGACTTCAAGAAGTATTCCCTCTTACCAATTGAGTGGAACTATGTCAAGCAAATGTGCGATTTTTTGGAACCCCTCAGCGAAGCAACCAAGATTTCTTGCAAGTCAAAATTCCCGCCCATGCATCAAGTTGTGCCAATGTACGTCGTTGTCTTACAAGGACTAAAATCTGTAAGTTTGATTTCATAAGCTTTTCACCCTCAATTCAAATTTGTTAATATGAAACATTGTTCTTATAGGTAGCTCAAAAATACGATCATGATCAATTAATTCCTGCTTTGATATCCATGATATCTAAGCTTGAAGACTATTTCAGGAAGGTGCTTACCAAACCTGCACCAGTCTGTGCTACCATTCTGGATTCACGCCTCAAGTTGAATTATTTCCATGTAAGTTTCTCTCAGGCATTTATAATTTAAAGTGGTACTGATCTCTGTTTGTATTTCTCATTTACAAAAAGGATCGAGCATTTTTTTTAGTCAATATGACCTCATCACTTCAGATATCAGATACATCTTTGAACAAGAGGCGTTGAAATTTGAGGCCGATATACCAATACCACCTCCAACTACCACCAAAAAATCAAACAGTTCTACATCCACTTCGCAGTACTTTGAAGATGCAATCTTTGGAGCCCAAGATGTTCGACAAGATCATTCAATTAGCAAAGAGATCAATCAGTACCTAGCTGACAAGCTCGAACCTTGCAACATCAAGGGCTTAGATTTCTGGACAAAACGAGTCGACATTTATCCTGGATTGGCCAGCATGGCGATGTATTTCCTGGCCATTCCAGCAACTAGCTGTCCTTCAGAGGGTGTTTTTAACAAAACGAAAAGAATTCTTGGCCCTCAGCATACTAATCTGTCTTGTTTACATGTGGAGGCGCTTTTGTGAGTTAAAGATTGGTACCGGGTGTTTGGCCCTTTGAAATTGACTAGTGAAGAAGTGGAAGATAGTGTTTGATTTTTTTAACCTCTTTTCATTGCTTGTTATCTACAATTATATGAATACACACCTATACATGCCAGACAAATTCAAAGTGTATATCCGTCGAGTATCCGACGGATATACATTTTTTTCTCCTTCCCATCCGCCTACCAAACCGGCCGGAGTACCGGCTACCGGGTGGCTCCAGAGGCCTTTCCAACAACCGCACCCGACGGAGCATCCGTTGGAGCTCCGGCCAAAAACCGGGGCCGGTGCCCATCTTGAGTGTGAGATCAGCCGGGGCATTTTGCCAAAACCACCTCCTCATTATGAAAACTTTTTTTGTAATTATGAATGCCTAAACTCCCAACACAAAGATTATGCGCACTGGTTCACTACACAACATCCTGCTCTCCATTTCTCAATAGCTGAGACGGATCTTGAGATATTGCCAAAAGTCGCTCGGGTCTGAAAGCCGGGGCTAACAAAGCTTACAGGTTCCAGATTTGCTGCGCGTCAGAAACACTTCATTTTGGTGTCCGGTCAAAACAACACTTTAGAAATGCATTCTTACTCTTACTCGATTCAATCTCTAGCGGTTGAATTATCCAAGTCTTGCATATGGGTGCGCCACCCTTGGTTTTTTCAGAAATATTTGGCACGCTTGGGCAAGCGCGCCATTGACGCGCCAAATGCGCTGTGCCCACCACCTGACAGGGGACTATGTTAAGCTTTCACCCTAGGGGGCTTAGTTAAGCTAAACTGAGCCCTCTTTGTGCGGCCGTTTTCTTGGACTTTTGATTATTTTATTTACTAAACAGAAGACTCTCAGATGGACTGTGAAAAAATCGACGCCCAATTGACATCAAGCTTTGTCAGGTCAAACAAATTACCTTCACTCAAGTTACGTTCTGATAAACTTCGAAGGGCAAGGATTGATCAAGATGAGCCAAAGACGAGCAAAAGACTAATCTCAGCAAGGTCCTGCAACCACAGGACTAACCAGGCTTCCAGATGAAATCACCCTTCATATTATAGGATACCTTCTAGTTCACAATAAAAGGGAAGCTGAAGAGAATCACAGACTCAAGTTTGAACAAACGTCGACCGTTTACTCTAAAAAAAGGACAGCTCTACTGGTTTATAGCCACAATCCTGCAAATCCAATCTTGAGTAGTCTGCAAGCTCTGTCGGTCGACAATCGTACATTTCATAAAATGTGTCAACCTATCATATGGAAAGTGAGCAGGATCTGGCTCATTGAAGGAGTACACTACTGACAGTGAGATCATCTCTCCTCCAATGCGGTCTCCTAGTCTCTCTGGTTTCTGACTCGAATATCTTGTCCAATGTCCCTCTGGACGGAGGAAATTTTACCACGGAATGTGCACCATGTCAAAACACTAGAGTTTGGGTTAAGATCTGAATGGTATGACAATCCACATGACCGACCTGACATCAGGAATGCCAGATACACAATCCAACCCCAATGCACACATCAATCTTGGGAGTTTAACCAATACAAGTTCATTGAGGAAGATAAGGACTATTTAGAAGTTGCTTCTTTTCATTCTGACAATCTAGCTATTATGGCTTCTGAGTACCTCGATGATCCGACACAAGTTTATAACGACCGATTTGGAATGTGTCCTGAAAAGGTCTTCACAGTGATTTCTTTCTGTGAAAACCTCAGCCGCCTACATCTCATATTTCCAAGCAGTGCTCCAGAAAGCGCATCAGATTCTCCTGACTCAGTGGAAGGACGCTCTCCCAAAACGGTGAAAGCATCTGATTTCTGTTACTACTTCACCTTAATAGTGCCTGTTCTACAACAGCTTCAACATCTCAAAATCCAAGCCTTGTTTGCACCCATACTCGCACAGTGCTTTGCTGAACCCATCACAAAGTTACCACGCCTTGAATCACTTGAGCTTGAGGGAGTGTCGGCTAGAAACCGAGACGACATTTGTCGCCTTCCTGGCTGCCTTTCTATAATCTCAAGACCCTGAAACACCTGATCCTCAAGGGAGTCCATGACATGGATGCTGATATCTGGAGATGTTATAAAGCTCCTCCTCAACTAGTCAATCTTATGATCCAAGATTGTTGACCATGTGGTGTATCACAATTCTTTTCCTCAATACTTGGGCGCCTTGACTAAATCATCTTGAGCTCAAATTTGATGAACCCATCGACCAACCACCAGTTGGGTCTGCAAACTTTGACTCAAAATGTAGTCAACTCGCTCTCCCGGCTTTAACAGATTTGACTCTATGGTCACATCGGTTTTGTTACTATATCCACTGTTTTGCTGCTTGCAAAAATCTTGGTTATCTTGCATACTATTTCAATCCAACATGGGGTGCCTCAGACAATGTTTATGAACAAATTTCGGAACTTTCAAATTTTGTCACCACTAATGTGCTCCCTAGTCTCGAAGTGATAACTTTTCATCTAGAAGGTAATAATTTTTATCCAATCAGTTTGATTTTGACTTCCAAAGTGGCATCATTGGAACAAACTTGTAAATCCAAAGGAATCAAATTCAAATGTATTCTTGATGAACGAAATTCAAAGCTTTGAAAAGATATAATAGACTATGTAGATCACTACGTCTAGACAACTTAGATAGATTTTTTTACTTTGAGTCAGATAGGAATCTTAAAAACTTGTTTACGAAAAGGTGTATGGCAACAAAGCAAGAAACCTCAGATGAGTGTCTCGAATGCAAGATATGGAATCCTTCAGAGATCAGGGCGATTATGTCCTTTCATCTTGACTATCATCATCCCTTCTGGTTTGCACGTTGGTCCTTGGTCCTTGCATCCAGCCAACAAAACAAGTGCAATGCCCAATCACATTGTCCGGGAATCAGAGTCAGATATGGATTTGTTGAAGTGAATCATGCCAAATCTCTGTTATATCTGTAGACAGCAGATGATGACTTGTTGTGTATGGATTGAGGCATTCTCAGTTTTGGGTGAATTACTTGGTTGAATTTATCTTGGTTCAAAGTCTTCAATCTTGTCATTTCACTTTTGCTCTGGATGTATTTGTAGGCCTTCATCATACCATTACAATTAGTTCTTTCACCTCACCTTATGTTACCTTTTCTTATCGCGCATTTGTTGCTGTGAAGACAGCCTCAGGTGTCTTTCAATTTTGATCCTTCACAACGTGCAAGTCGAGTTCTTGGTTATATCTTTCATTATTTCCATCTGTGTCTCTGTTTGTCAAACTGCAATTTCTCTTACAACAAATGACCATTGAACATATTTTTGCCAGTGTAAGTCGCTTGAATATCTACAAACCAAGGCTTTATCAGGGCAACAGTCTTTCTTTTGTATAGTCATTGTTACCACTCAATTCTACCAGGCGTTGCTCACAATGATTCTGATGTCGGGATCCTATCACAGGATGGCTGCTTCCCAGTAGGTCGCGTTAAGACCATGGTGTTTGAGGATAAGGTATTAGTAAGAGCCCATAACAACGCTCGGATCTCAACGTAACGCGATGGATTACGGTGTATATGTGACTACGTTACGGTAGACCGTTGGCATTGGCTACCGTTTCGGAACGTTATCAGGTGGGTACCGTAGCACAAAATTCAATACGGCACGGGCAGAGCGTACCGTACCGTACCTAAATGGGCTTTTGTGCCCCAGATTACGGTTGATTGCGGTGAAACGGTAATAAAATTGAAAAAATCGATAAAAATCGATAAAAATCGATATAAATCGATTTACAGTCAAACCGGAAAAGCTTGCCACCAATTCCCCGCCAATTTGCTCGAGTTTTGCGGGCAAAATCGGTCAAGCTTTTCCGGTTTGACTGTAAATCGATAAAAATTGATCTAGGTTGTAGTTTCAATCCATCATAAAATGGTCCAAGTGCTTTTGGACATGCCATACTCAAATCACGATTAGCTTGATGTCAACTTGCCTCTTCTCCTGACAGCAAGACACCTGGATGGGTTGCACAACTCAATAATCAGAAATTACAGAACAATGATCGTGAGTGAGTCCTTTCATTAAAGACGTAAAACAAAGATGTAGTACAGACTAAAGTGACAGCAGAAGACCAAGCCAAAAAGTAATCAATCATCAAATCCTTCACCACCGTATCTTTGACAATCGACCCTTTTTGATGATTCACCATCATCTCACTAAGTTGAACCAGTTTATCTTTAATCCAACTTGAGCAAACTTGATTGCTCTCAACTGAACCCGTGGTAGAATTACTTGATCGATTCGTGTATCAAGCACAATCAATAAGTAACTGGTTAACTCTCTCAAATTGCAATCTCGTTCAAAAGTTCCTTTAGGCGCTCAAAATCAACTCGAGCATATCGTTTGATATTAACTTGTGCCAATTTACACATCAAACCACTCCATCGAAGTCTGAACTTTGTACCAATTGAAGTTTTTAACAAAACCCGTAGTCAACCGTAGTGACTACGGGTTTTGTCGCGGGCACCGCAACGTGATGGCCCGTAATCGTAATCAAGACCGTCACCGGATTCCTTAACCATGCATTGCGGTACGGAGGTACCGTAGGGTCCAGAGGCTGATAGCGGTACGGCGCGGGCCGTAGCGTACCGTACCGCTGACCGTAGTCATCGCGCTGAGGTCCGGGCGTTGCCCATAAGTTCGAACCAGGATGGAATGTCGGTCTGCTTTGGCAGTTTGGTTTGACGTGACCTGAAATCCAAGGTCCACGCATAATTTGGGATTACCACGAGCAGTCATCGGTAGAGCAGCGAGCGTGGAATCGGTCGAACCAGCAAATTGAAGTGCGCGGTTTGATATCCAAGAAGAACTAGCATCAGAGAAGCAAGATCTTTTCAAATCTTTGGTTGTCTCCTTAGCTTAACAAAGCCCTCTCTGCGCGGCCGGAGGGCTTTGTTAATCTAAATTGTCTCCACTATCTCAGGCTTCAAGAGCTCATTACCATCGCCTTCGAGCCTCGAGGACTTGTAAACCAGACCTCCTTCAAGTTCCACATTCGATCGATCAAAATGGAGCACTCAAGAAAAGCTGATAACGATTTACTCAATCGCCTACCAAATGAAGTTCTGTTGGAAATAGTCAAATTCGTCTTGGATCTTGATAGTGCTCGCGAACGTGATGATAATCGTGTCAAGAAGAGATATTTACGAGGCATCCTTCTTGAGTCAGGAGAGGAGACGAAGTTATGGATTTATCAACATAAACCTGAATCACCAATTATGACTACTTTTCAAGCCTTTTCCACTCTCAACCGCAGGGTTTATTCTATCTGTCAGCCTTTCAAATGGCAGGTGAGCTAAGTTTTGCTCGTCGAGTATACCAACTCGCATCACTGATGTGTACTGATCATGGTATGATCTTCTTCTCGGTTCGGCGCTCCAGTATCTCCGGTTTCCTTCTCGAGCATCTATTCCTATGTCAATGTGGAATGAGGAAATCTTACCAAAACATGGATGCCATGTCGAAGTAATCGAAGTTGGGTTGAGATCGCAATGGCATCAAATATCCCAGAATCCGACTTCTATCGAACAAGACCAGACTCAACATCGCGATTCACTACGATCTCCTGATGAAAACAAAATCAAGTTTATCGAAGACAGTCAAGACTTCTGGAAAGTCGAGAGTATTCACTGCGATAATCTAAACGTCGGTTCCAAAACCACTGACCCTGACGAGCGCCTTTCGCTCCGCCCATCATATGGGCTCTGTCCGGAAAACCTTTTAAAAGTGATTTCTCATTGTGAAAACATCAAGACGCTCTGTCTTACTTGTCCGGATAATTGGTACAGACCTCCCACGTCAGAGGAGATGCATAACCCAAGTTACAATTTTACCAAATTGTTTTCCGATCTTGGACGTCTTCGGAATCTCACGATCAAAGGTCCTCAGTACTCAACAATACTTGCAGAGTGTTTTATCGAACCGATCTCACATCTCTCATTGCTTGAATCACTCGAGCTACACTATATTTCGCATGAAGGCTCTGATGCCATCGAGAAGCTTGATACACGTCTTTCAGATCTCCAAAACCTCAAGCGTCTTGTGCTGAATGAAGTCGATGTCATAGACTGGTCTTGGGGCCAACATCAAGGACCTCCTAATTTAGTAAAACTTACGATTCGAGATTGTGCTCAACTTTGTTTATCAGATTTACCTTGGCTTATCAATAATTGGGCACCCAGTCTAACTCACCTGGAGCTCAAACCTGATGAAACTCTAGACATCTTGCCAGGAGTAGAAACTCCAATATTCGATCTCAAGGAGAACTTATTTAGTTTACCGGCTTTAACACATCTGAATATATGGCCAGCTACCGAATGCCATTATATTCACTCCTTCAAAAATTGTAAAAACCTCCGCCGCATTCAATTTAATCAATTTGAAAACCCGCAATTATTTGATGAATTATCAGAATTTTTCACGTTTATCACTACAAATGAATTTCCAAAACTCAAGTCTATAAGATTACCTTTAGATTACAAAAACTTTCCACTTGATGAGGATATACAATCTATATTACCTCTATTCAAAGCTTTTTGTAAATCTAAAAAAATCAAATTTGAAGTTTCTCAAGGTATTGTATATAAAAATAAATCACCACGTAAAACAATGAAGTTCATTTCCTAAGATGAAAAATTCGGCATCATTTATATATCGGAATGAAATGGAGGTTTTGTATGAATTGTAGTGGTCAATCTCAACATAACAACATATATATTCACTTTTGATTCTCAAGATTCAGTTGTTTCTACTGCCAAATGTAGAATTTTTCTTTCCAGATTTACCTCTAGTTGTCCTATGATAACATTTTCACCTTATGCAGATTATATTATATTTCACATCTACTTATCAAGAAAACAACGTGATCACTTTTATCAAAAGCACATTGTTGATCTCCATTACTTTGTTTCTCATGATTATTATCTACAAGAGACCTTGCAATGTTCAGTCCAAAGTTTCAATCTAAACCTGTTTTCCGTTTCTTTAGCCAATCCAAAGTTATGCCTTTTGTATGGGTACATGTGGAGATAAATTGCATCCATGGCTTCCAGATGAACCCTGATCTTATATATACATTTTATCAGGTTAACCTTTTCTGATGTTTCTGGAAAAAGAAAAGCTTGAGAAACAAAAAAGCTTTGTATAGCCAAGGAATGCCACTGTCATTTTAGTCAAGCACTTTTTCAGAGTTTTCCAGAGATAATCTTGTGCTTGATTACGACCACATAATGATTAAATATACACCTTGTGTCCCTCCTCTGGGATAACAGATGCCAAGACTTGCACAACTTGGTAGGAGAAAACAAAGCCTGGAATGATTGGGCAAGGGTTAAAGTTTCTTTGAAGGCAATTATTACTTGACACACGCTAATGTATGTCAAAAAAGTGGATAGAATTGGAATAACATCTTAGAAAAAAGCTGCACTGATGAATTCTTGGTATTATAAGTCAGAGATCTGTAAATTTTTCACAATAAGGGATCTTTGTATATTTTGATGTGTCCTCAAAAAACCACATTTCCCAGATCTCACAACAAACAATTTCAAAAGATATGCACTAGTAATGAAGTAATAGGACATCAATAGTAAATCGCAGCAAGACCCAACAAGCATCAGATCTTTTTTTTTGTTTTTCAGAAGGGCTGGGCCAAATGTCAAATTCCAAAAAGAATTTATTTATGCCTGTTGTATGGCAACCTGAATGTGCTTCAATGGCTACAATCAAAGATATCAACCAACTACATATTGTCCGAGGATGATCTTTGGAGAGTAGAAAAAAGATTTTGTCTTAAGTGTGGAGGTGCAGGTCATTCAGCTTGTTGTTGTGGAGGAAGAGGTCATGAGAGTAGTGGCAGGAAAGCATTAGGAAAAGGGAAGCTTGTTTGCTGTTCTCTTCTGTTATTATTTTGAGGTCTACTTTGGGTTTCCCTCCATTTGGACTTAATCAGTCCAAAACCGGTTTTCACTCGGGTTTTAGACAGTATGTATTTGGAAAAAGTTGCTGATGATGAGTCTTCAAATCGAAGCAAAGCAGATCGGCAAAGAAGCAACATCAAAGCTTCATGAAACCAAACACTAATTAAACCACTGGTTCCGTTCAAGTTACGCTGCCGATGGACTTCAGCGCACAAGAATTGATCGAGATGGGCCGAAAACAAGCAAAAGAAGTTCCCGCTACCAAAGACCTAATATCTATGCTGGATGAAATCACCCTTCATATTATAGGATACCTTTTAGATGATGATGAAAGTAAAGCTTAAGAGAATCACAGACTTTCGGTCGTCAATTGTAAATTTTATAAAATGTGTCAACCTATCATATGGAAAGTGAGTAGTATTTGGCTCATTGATGGAACATATTACTGATAATGAGATCATCCCTCTTTTACTTCCTTCACTGGGGTCTCCTAGTCTCTCCGGTTTCCGACTCGAATATCTTGTCCAATGTCCCTCTGGACGGAGGAAATTTTACCACGGAATGGGCACCATGTCAAAACACTAGAGTTTGGGTTAAGATCTGAATGGTATGACGATCCACATGCCCGACCTGACATCAGGAATGCCAGATACACAATTCAACCCCAATCCACACATCAATCTTGGGATTTTAACCGATACAAGTTCATTGAGGAAGATAAGGACTATTTAGAAGTTGATTGTTTTCATTCTGACAATCTAGCTGTTATGGCTTCTGAGTACCTCGACGATCCGACGCAAGTGTATGACACACAATTTGGAATTTGTCCTGAAAATGTCTTCACAATGCTTTCTCTTTGTGAAAACCTTACCAACCTCCATCTCACATTTCCAGTCAGTTCTGATCATGTATTATCAAACTCTTCTGATTCGGTGCAAGCACGATCTCCCGATTCACTTGAAGCATCTTACTTCTGTCACTACTTTACCTTGATAGTGCCTGTCCTACGACGTCTTCGACATCTCAAGATCCAAGCGCCCTACGCATCCGTACTGGTACAGTCCTTTGCTAAAACCATCATGAAGTTAGTACACCTTGAATCACTTGAGCTCGTGAACGTCTCGGCTAGAAATAGACATGACATTCGTCGCCTTCCTGGCTGTCTTTCTAACCTCAAGGCCCTCAAACACCTGATTCTCAAGGAAGTCCATGACATGGATGCCAATATCTGGAGATGTTATAAAGCTCCTCCTCAACTAGTCAATCTTATGATCCGAGATTGTCGACCACTTTGTGTATCACAAATTCTTTTCCTCAATACTTGTGCACCTCGACTAACTCATCTTGAGCTCAAATTTGATGAACAAAATGACCGACCATCAGTTGGGTCTGCAGACTTTGACCTGAAGCAAAATCAACTTGCTCTCCCGGCGTTAACAGGTTTGACTCTGTGGTTACATCGGGTATTCTACTATATCCACTGTTTTGCTGCTTGCAAAAATCTTCGTTATCTTGCATATTATTACAATCCATTGTACGATTTCTCAGATAATGTATTTGCTCAAATTTCGGAACTTTCAAATTTTGTCACCACTAATGTTCTCCCTAGTCTCGAAGTCATCACTTTTCACATAGAACGTAACAATTATCCCCTTAGCTCAGTTTTGAATTCTAAATTAACATTATTGGAACAAACTTGTAAGTCTAAAGGAATCAAATTCAAGTCTTTTCCAGATGACCTAAATGCAAAGCTTCGCGAATATGTAATGTCCTATGAAGATAATCATGGATGAAAATTAGCTGGGTCTTCATTAATCCAACTCAAACCTATGAAAATATAAACTCGTATACAAAAAGGTGTATATCAAAAGATCAAGAAGCTCTGAATCTGATGACTGTCCCAAATGTAAGACACAACACTTGTGAGGGTTGGTTACTCTTTTGAGTACTCAAGGATCACTAATTGGGCAAGGTGGGTCTTATAATTCAAGTAATTATGATTATATTTCAAATATAAAAGTAGTTACAAAGAATTATAAACAAAGGAAAGGGATGAGAAATGGAAGTTAATGAAATGTTTATAAAGTGTGAAGGGTGGATCCTAGCCCTTCCTTTAATCTTCTAGTGACAGATTAAAGAGTGGGATGAAGTTCACTAGACTAGTTGTTCTATGGTCACTAACCCTGGGTTGTTCTTATGGTCACCAACCTTGGGTTATTATATGGTCACCAACCTGGGTTGTTCTATGGTCACCAACCTTGGGTTGTTATATGGTCACCAACCTATTAGAGTTCTACTTAGGGGTAGTAGAGGATCCAGGGGAGAGTGAAGAGTATTACTTACTTTTAATCAAGGAACTGATTAAAGTAATGAAGATATCACTAGTCTTATATTTATAAGACTCTTGATGTTACTTCAGTAGAACTTTAATTGTTCTTAAAAGTAGTGTGTAATAAAAGCTTGGGGGGAAATCTCCCAAGGCTGAGAGAGGAGGGGTTTATATACTCTCCTCTCCAAACCTAACTGTGGTGAGATTTGTTTACATCCCTACTTTGGTTTAGGGTTTGATTATTATTATTATTTGGGATTATTTCTAATAATACTTAATTACATATACGTGTTATATGTAATATGTAATATAAGCTTCTTTAACTCTTGACACTGAGTTATGAGGTGTAATTGATATATAATTACATATTACGTATCATTTTAAATGTGTATGTATATGTAATTAATAAGTGTATATGATTTATTACAAGTTACATATGTTTTGTAAGCTTTATGTACATGTAATTAGTTGTCTGAAAGTGGTTATATATGTTACAAGTTAGTCTTTAGGTACATACATATGTACCTAGGGCTGACAACACTTTTCCGAGATCCAAACGTCTCTCCCCCCTTCTCTAGTTTGCGCATGGAAACGTGATCCTTGGATCCAGCCACAAAAGAAGCTCAACACTCGATCATATTGAACGGGTGGTCGATTAAAGTTGGCTCTGTTGAAGTGCATTGCGTCAAATTCAAGAGCAAATTAAATGTAGATTTCAAAATTTCCCTCTCATGAGCAGCCCACGGTGAACATTCCTATAATCATGAGATCTGCGCTCGGGTATCACCGGACAATATTATGTGATCATAAAGTGAAAACTTCCAGTTGAATTAGACGTAGGGCTTCGGATGATTTGATCAAGGCGCAGGTATCCTTTACTGATTTGATTCCCAAGACAATAAGCAGCTTGGCTGACTACCCGGCGTTTTTTTGCATTGCTTAAAGTGTCATTATCTCATCAGTCTTTCCCTATGTGTATACCAAGGTAGTATCATGGTAATTGAACATAATCGTTGCCATCCAAGATCAGAGACCTCTGTTACAGGGGTAACCCCACAACAAGGCTGGCTCCACGTCTCATTGGTGTCGATGTTCCATTTGGACTCGTCTTATCATATGTGACGACTGAATTCAGCCAGCTTTGTTCAGAATCATGGTTTCAAGTGTCCAAGAAAGACGCGCAGCTCTATCAGTAAGTGTGTCTAAAGCAAAGCACGCACCAACGACAGCTACTGCTAAGGATTTGACAGAACAGTACAGGTCCAAATTTGGTGAATTTTCATGACTAAGATGGGGTCAGGTTGACAATATGATTGGAACCTACAAGCGACAATGAACAACTCATATTGGTGATAGATATGGATCAGCAAGACATTGACTTGAAGACAAGGGACTTTCATTTATCAGTAAGTCACCTTGACAATCAGCCCAATACTAGACACCGGCAAGCATACTTATTCCCACACAAGCATGACTCACAGTGCCACAAGGACCCATGCGATCTCAATCCAAATCCCGAGGTCTCTCCCGAAAAGTGAGTTTGTATTCATAGTATTGAGAAAATCATGTGTGACATGAGGATCATCAACTCTCAGAAATCCATGGTTTTGATCCTTTTTGATTTTCTTTCTATTGTTATGCTGAGTATGCTACATGGGTAGTTTTTTTGATACATGGAAATGTGACAGTAAGCTAAGACAACTCTTTGGTTTTCTCCTATTCAAAGGTAAAGAGTCATTGAATGGGATTGTGGGATAGGGTTGTGCACTGTATAGAGTTGCCAGTGTTCCCAGAGCTTGCGGAGGTACACATAATTCCATTTCCGTGTGGTGAATAAAGCAGAGGTGCGGATAGAGGAAGTTGCAACCTGTGACAGACAAAGCACACATGTCACAGGTCAAGTGAGTTTCGGGTGGTGGATACAGGGAGAATCAGAGTTTTTACTCTTCTCACTCCACCACCCAAATATTCCTTCCGTCATCCGCTCCTCAAGATCTCTCTGATCCTCACTGATCCTCATAGATAGATCTTCTTCGCTTTAAAAAATATATACATATACCTAATCGTAACAAGACAACAGTTTTTGATTTCCAAAAAAAAAAAAAAAAAGGGGTTTCCAACTTTCTGAATGTGGCGACAGCTGAAACTAAAGAAGGAAAACATCAATTACAAATCACCGAGTATGTTACAGGCTATTAAGAAAGCAGAAGAGAAGAAGAGGGCAGATGCGGCCAAGGCGCTAGAGCAGGCCGAAAGGAGACGGAAGAGAGCCGAGTCAAGAATTGCTCCTCAAGGATGTTCGGACCAAACAAACCTCGACCCACCTCAAGCTATCGCGACGCAAGAGATGGAAGAAGGCCAAAGAGAGTTGATTGAAGGTGGTGAAGAGGGTGTTGAAGATGAAGAGGAGGTAGATGAGCTAGAAGGCGCTCCAGTAGACGCCGACGACGAATCAAGTGAAACCAAGAGCAATTCGGGGTCTGATTCTTCCGGCTCAGTTTTGGAGTCATTCTTGTATGAACAGAAGTTGGTTAGGCGCAACACTCTCGAACCCAAGCTGGATAAGGGGAAAGAGAGAAAGATTTCCGCAGGGGAATCTTCGGAGGAGGAGCCGTCAAATAAGAAGAAGAAGTTGGATCAGTCCTTGATAGAAAAAGACCAAAGTGAGTTTGTAGATCGTCTTGGGTTTGGCTTTAGTAGAAATCGAGGTTACCAATGGGGAGCTCTTGTTGTAGCGCCTTGTCGCTCCGAGATATGGAAGACCTGAAGGGTCACTTCCAGGTTGAAGAGTCGTACTCCCTCCCCTAGTCCTTCCGTCACTTCGAGTGTTGGCTCCGGGGAACAGGTCCCTGTTGTAGCAGAGGAAGATCCAGCTCCAGTGATTGTCGCAGCTGTGGGTCAAAAGGAGAAGTGACTGAAACGTGTTCTACTTCTGTCCTGTTCGGTAGGGATCGCTCGAGACTCGTTGAAGAAGAGCACACACCCGTCGAGTTCAAAGGCCTTGCAGGCATCAGGGTTGTTGGGCAGGAAAACGGTCAATTCCTTAATGGACCGCTTGGTGGAGAAGGTCAAGTCGGGGAAAGGCAAGGATGTGAAGAGACTTCGCAAGGAACTAGATGTCTTACAATCAGAATTGGAGGATTTAGAGGCGAAGAAGAAGAAAAGGAAGATGGAGGAGAAGGAGAAAGAGAAAGAAGAAGGAAAGAATGGAAAGAAGGGGAAGGGGAAGAAAGGGAAGGGAAAGAAGACGAGTAGGAAGAACAAACACTCACGTTCATCATCTTCAGATGAGTCTTCCCCGTCTTCGTCGGACCAGAAAGACGACGACTCTGAGCACGGTTAATTTTGGGGTTCATCTTTGTCTTCATTGGGGAAGGATTCGTCAGATGAATCTGCTTCTTCGAAGGAGGACAAAGAACAGAGCGAGAGGAAGAAACCGATGGTCTTCACCTTTAAATCTTTGTCTGGTTTCAACCTTCCTGATTTACCGATACAATGGGAGAAGAATTTCCGTCGAATGAAATACTATGTCCCTCTTTCCGTTTTCGATGCCTCCTATATTGATGCGTACAAGACCACTTGCAAAACGAAAATCGGTCGGATGAAGTGGGATAGTCATATGCAGTCGAGAGAAGAGTTAGAACGCCAGATGACTTACGGCGAATTCATTCTAGCCTGCGACTTGGAGTACCGATACGCGACTGAACGGTACAAGTACCACAACTATGCAACATATGTGGAAAAACACAAGGAGATAGTCAGTGAAATCGCGAGAAGGCATAAGTGTTGGATGGTAGGTCTACGATACCATCTAGCAATTCAAGCGGTGACTTTCAGAGTTCGGTCGGATACGTCAGCGAGTGGGAAGAAGCTGAAGGTGGATGAGGTAGTTCTTCCCAAGGGTCTGGAGAAAGTAGCGGAGGAGGATGCTAGGTGGGACGCCCAGACGGCCGGCGACCTGAAATGTAAAGGAAATCCGTACGCTGTTGGCCAGCCGAAGTTTGGGTTCGACTTCATGACGGGACAAGAGGTGGAGTCGGTTTCTGGGTCAAAATCAAAAGCCAGGGTACAATCGGATGATTCGCTGGAAGGCAACTTGAAGCAGAGTTGGAGTCAGAACAAGAAACAACGAGGAGGTAATAGAGGAAGACCGAGGTACTCTAAACCATCCAACTCCCAGATCGCGTCTAACGCCAACCAGACGCAGAAGAGAGACTTCAGCGGGGGGAAAGATTGGGTCACCATGGGCCAGCAGCACGCGAGTAATGTAGCGTCAGGCTCTGGTAAGGCTGGGAAGAAGAACCAAAAAGGGTTCGGCCCAGGAGACCGGTGAGTGGTGTTGGAGATTCGTCTTGAAGAGAGAGTTTCTGATGGTAGCCTTCTGTTTTTCTTTGTTGTCATCTTTGGTGGGTCCTTGGGGTTTGATGGATGGTTGTGGGCTATGGCATTCTTCGGTTGGGTTGAATCCGGTTGTCGATGTTGGGAATTGGGGGGGGGGTTCTGGTATGATGCATTTGGATTCCATGTTGGTTAGATAGACTATAACTATGACGCATAATTAGTCCTGAAATTGAATCTGTACCTCTGGGTCTTTTTAGACTAGGTTTAGAAATGCACCTTCCGTTCAAATGTCGAGAGACGGGTCAGAGCCTATCCAAGTTGAGAGTGAGATCAAGACCGCCTGTTCCACAGAAGAAGATTCAGATGAGTCTTCAGAGTCTGATGTTCCAGCATTGGTATACCGGGAGAAACAAGTCCAAGTTGATTCTGCCATTAAACCAAAGGAAGACATACAAAGTGGAGGTTGCAGATGACTGGCCAGGACCGGTGAAGAGTGACATGAATATCGAGGAATGGCACTGCCAGCATATTTGGCTCGGAGACAAACGTCCGAGGAGTCCTCGGACGGCGCCCCCGAGGAAAAGGGCACCCAAGGGCTAATTCCGAGGCAAATGTTGGCCCTGGCCATTGCCTCGGATTGGATCCTCGGATGGGGGTTAACTCAGAGTCAGAGTCCGAGGAATCCTCGGATTTTTGGCTCCGAGCCAAATATGCTGGCTGTGTGGGAGAGGCTGATGAAGAAGGTAGGTCTAGATGAGGATATCCCGTATATCATCGACGGGTTCCGCCACGGTTTCTGTCTGGGTATTCCACAGCATGTGATTGAAGGCAAACGTTGGGTCTCACCACCTAATCATGGTTCGGCTCTGTATGTGAAGGAGAAGATTGTTAACACATTGAAGAAGGAGGCAAGAGCGGGGAGGATAATAGGACCGTTTACTCACGAGCAGGTGTATGAAAAATTCGGATTTTTCCGTACTAATCCGATGGGGAGTGCCGTTAATGGGGATGGGTCGATACGGCTTATAAATGACTTGTCTTTCCCCAAGAAACGGTCGGCGAAGAGAAGAGGGAGGAAAGGTAAAGCCTTGAAGAATTCAGAACCAGTAGTTCCATCCGTAAATTCATTCGTCAACAAACGAAACTACAGTACGAACTGGGACGACTTTAAGTTAGTAGCCAAGTTCTTTAGCGAGAATCCTGGAGAGTGGGAGGCGGCACTTTTTGACTGGGAAAAGGCTTACCGTCAGCTTCATACACACCCATCGCAGAGAAAATATTTGTGCATTATGGATTTTGAAGGGAAAGTCTGGATCGACCTAGCAGTGGGGTTTGGGGGCGTGGCGAGCTGTGGTGTGTTCGGGGCCCCAGCAGAGACGTGGAAGACGTTGATGATGAAGCTCCTGAATATCCCGATGATATTCAGGTGGGTTGATGACAATCTCATCCTTCGAAGACCAGGAGACAAGGTGTCACTAGACGACATCACCGACCTCAGTAATTCTCTTGATGTGAAAACTAACAAAGAGAAAAACCACGACTTCTCAACCGAGCAGAAATTCCTCGGTTTCATCTGGAACGGGGCAGATCATACGGTTAGACTACCTCAACAGAAGTTAGATGAGAGATTGAAACAGGTCCTGGAATTTTTGAACCCATCTGAGGATTGGAGTTTCTCTCAAGTAGAACGGTTTGTGGGTAGATTACAACATACAGTTTGTATCGTACCTCATATGGCGGCATATACATGCTCGATCTATCGGTGGTTGAAAGAATGGTTCAATTGGGAGGCGAGACGCTCTGCCCCGGAGGACGTCATCAAAGACCTGACCGAGTGGAAATTCTGTCTGCAATCGTTCGAATCCAGGAGGTTAGTAACAAGCCCTGTCCCAGAAGAAGTGGGTTGGGTAGGGGATGCTTCATCCTCATTTGGGTGAGTCTGGAAGAAGACCGGAGCGGAAGGTATAACAGATACTAATGGTGGAACTTTTGTAGGATTGGAGTACTTATTGGGAGGAATTGGTCTTGCTTCAGGTGGGAAAAGGATTGGTCGGTTAGAGGTCTTTCTTCTGGATCCCGTAATATTGCCTGGGCCGAGACGGTGACAATCCGTCTGGGCCTTCTGGTCCTTGCGAAGGTAGTCCCAGTCAGGGGCCGTACGTTTTGGGTCGAAACGGATAATACGACAACGGAGGCTGCGATAAGGAACAGAAAGTCTAAAGATGTTAGAGTCAATAATGAATGGAAAGAGATTCAGAGACTACTTACTGTTTTAGGTGGTAACGTCAAACAGAGACGTGTCACGTCCAAGAATAATCTAGCGGACGACTTGTCAAGAGGAATCGAGGGGGATAAGGCGTGGTTTGATGAGGTGATCATTGAAATTCCAAGCGATCTTCGTCCTCTCGTGTCCCAAGTATCTCTACCTTTCCCTCCGAGTCTCATTCAGGATGCCTAGGAAGAAAAATTTGTCTACTACTTCAATCAGAGGTCACATTGCGATAAACGAGGCCGATATGAAGAAAGTACTGAAGGCGTACGGGGTTTTCAAAAGTAATGCAGAGGGAGTGGATAATTCGTTTGTGGATGAAGTTCAAAGACATTTTCTGAGAGGGGCTTGGGCAGATGGGACTCTAAGGCATTATAATTCGGCGGTCGTGAAGTTACAGCGATTCGCAGTAGTGAAGAAGATAGATAAGAGAGAACTTCTACCGATTTCAGAGGATGTGATAATTCAGTTTGTGGTATGGGTGTCAAAGAAAGGAGAGGACCGTGCAGAAGAGGACAAGTCGGTTAAGTCTTCAACCATCAAGACTTACTTGGCAGGCATCAAAGTGTGGCATTTGTTTCATCGTTGCGAATTTCCGAGTAAAGTGGATCCGACTTTAGTCCGCCTAATCAAAGCTTCTCGAATGGTTGAAGTTAGTTTTGCTGAGAAGGAGAAGAGACGTCCGCCGGTTCTGGTCTCCGATTTGGTGACTTTGATGAACAACGTCGATATGGAGTGTGAACAACAAATCGTAGCGGCCACGATAGCTCTAGTAGCTTTCTGGGGGGTTGCTAGACTAGGGGAGCTGGTGTCTGATGATCCCAAGAAGAGACTCCCGACCTGGGAAGATGTTGAATGGGGTGTAGACAAGTCGTATGCGACGATCGCAATTCTGGAGGCGAAGACGGCCAAACCGGGGGAGGTCCAGTACATTCATCTTCAGGACCAGAAATCTTGTTTAGACCCCGTCAGAGCTCTCCGACTCCTTCATGACCTTTGTCCTAGGCGTCCAGAAGATCAAATTTTTCTTCTAAATCATAAGGATGGGGACAAGAACCTAGTATGGATGAAATCTCGACTTATCGATTACTACCGAAGAGTTTGGAATAGCCGTAGATCGCCCAATAAACAGTTGTTATATGGCCACTCTTTTCGTATAGGTGGTGTGTCGCTCAGATGGAATTTAGGGGGATCGAGGCAAGAGATAAAGACTTCGGGTAGATGGTCCTCAGACGCTTATAAGATCTACCTTCGGAAGTTTGACGAGAGGGAGTTAAAAGAGACAAAGAAGCTTTTAGATGAATTGAAATTCTGATTTAGTTTTCATGCGTCCCTCTCTGTATAGAGACACACTTTAGAGTTTGCAATTAAAGTTTGGCCTGTAACTCAGTGCATGTGATTCAATTGAATCAATTGAAGCCTGACTGAGTTCCTTCTCGAAAGTTTGTTCTCAATGAGGCTGGTGAGACTTCGCATTGACTCAGCTGATGGTAAGCTCGGTCCATGGAGGATACCGGGATGGAAACTGTCAGAGCTCTGCGACAGAGGGACAGTGTGATCAGGATATGTAGTGGGCTTGCTGTGTAGGCGAGCCCGAAGGAGGGTAGAACAGTGCTTACGTGAGTTTAGCTTCACGTGAGGGTGAGTTTGGGGGTTTTGACTTCTCAGGCTCACGGCTCCATCCTCCCGTGAGAGATGGGGTTGAGAAGTCTTTTGCTTCTCAGGGCTGTTCT